TCGAGAGTCCTCCCTCAGACACAAGGGTCCCAGCCCCCCAGCCCCACCCCTTTCTCAGATCAGGGAGTATTTCCTCCCCACTCCCATTCCTGTCACTTAGACTGAGGGGTTCCAACCCACTCCTCCCTCAGGTCAGGGCGTCTCAGGGCCCCTTTTCTCAGACGTGGGAATCCATTCTCCCTCCTCCCTCAGACCAGGAGTCCTGACCCCCAACCCTCTTCTCTCAGACCTTGGGGTCCGAAATGATGACCGGTTCTCAGGAGCCTACACTGGAGGAATTCAGCTCTGCACTTCATCTTGTCCTGGAGTCCCGGCCCACAGCCCCTCTTGTTCCCGGACATCCCAGCGCCACCACCGCCCCCACCCCGCCCTCTCCTTCTCTAAGACACAGGCCAGGGTCCAGCTTCCTCCTCCCGCAGGTAGGCTAGGCCCCCTTGACCCCCTCTCTGTCCCCTGACTTCTGCCCAGTCCAAGGGTTTCTCCACCAGGGCTGGCCTGAACCCCGACACCCCCCCTACCTGCTCTGGCCTCCTGGGGTGCTGACCAGGCTCCAACGTAGCCCCTGGCCTCAGGCCTCCAGGCTGGGGTCTCCTCCATGGTGCCCAGCACTTGGCTTCCGTGTTTGTCCAGCAGGCAGTCACCAGGGCGGGATGGTTCCAGGTAAGGGAGGGGCCTGGCCCAGGTCTCTATCTGGCCACCAGGTGGCCCCAAGTGAGGCCACACACGTCCTCCCAAGGACTGGAAGCTCTGGCTGTGCCCGCGCAACTGGGCTCCTTACCTTACGCTGCCCTGACCTCACCTATCCATTGAGTCGGTTCTGACTCTGGTGGCTGTTAGGGATGGAATGATGTGGCCCCCCTTCGATGGAACATAAATATCAACACAAAACCCCCACAGCCTCGGAGACAATTCTAACTCAAGGCGACCAGGTAGGGCAAGGTAGAACTGCCCTGGTGGGTTTCTGAAACTGTAATTGCTCTCACCCCCAAGTTTTACTGGCATATAATTCTTATCTCATACAATTCCATCAGTTCAATCACATCAGGGAGAGTTGTACAGCCCTCACCACAGTCAGTTTTAGAACATGATTACTAGTTCTCCATTTCCCCCCAACCTCTCCTGCCAGACCCCCAAGGAACCATGAATCCAGTTACTGTCTCTACAGATTTACCTACTGGGATTTCATATACAGAAGAACACGAACAAATGGTAACTCTCTGTGGGAGTAGAAAGTCTTGTCTTTCTCCCAAGGAGCAGCTGGTGGTTTCAAACTGCTCACCTTCAGGTTAGCAGCTCAGTGTGTAACTTGCTGTACCATAACGTGCTGGAAATTGTACCCTCTGTTGCTGGAGGCTGAGTGCCTCTCCTTCTATATCACTCTCCTATATCACTCAGACAACCTCACTGCCATTGAATCGGTTCTGACTCCTGGTGACTCATAGGACAGGGTAGAACGGCCCATGTGGGTTGCTGAGACTTTAACTCTTTACAGAAGCAGATAGCCTCCTTGTTCTCCCACCAAGCCACTGGTAGTTTTGAACTGCCGACCTGGTGGTGAACAGCCCAACATGGAACCCCTCTGCCATTGGAGCTCCTTCCTTCTCTAACCTCTGTCTGGCACAGGAGATATGGGAGGCTTTTTATTCTCGCAAAGAGCTACAGCCGCCTTTGGTGAAACCCAGTTGAGAAGCAGAGAGGGGGGAACAGAGATACAGAGCCACATGGAGATGGCCCAGCTCAGGAGAGACTCTGAGCCAAGAGTCTCTTGACTTAAAGCCAAGAGAGCGAGACTTTCCTAGAGCTCGTGCCCCAAATTCACACTCCTAGCCTCCCACACTCGGGAGAAAGGTGAAGTTTCCCACTCCTGTCAGGAGTTATCGTCTTGCATAGCAACGACGGCAGACTAACCCCCCTCAGGGGAAGAATATCAACATAGTAGGTGAAGGGACAGAATGGGTGGTATAACATAGGTATAAATAATAACAATACATCCTATATTAAGGGTTCAAGGGGTGGCGGGGGAACAAGAGGAGTTAATATCCAAGAGCTCAAGAAGATATTTAAGAATTTTTGGTGCCGATAATTGTATGTCTGTTTGAGATAATCTCCTGTCAACTTATGCAAAGGGGTGGAGTCTAGCCTGTCAATCAGGTCATAGCCAATGAGGCCTCTATGTGGGCATGGCCTTCTCCTAAGGATTCTGGGAACGCCTCCCTGGAGGCGGGGAACACTCTCTCTGCTTTACATTCCTGTTGACAAGCCACCTGGAGCTATGCTGATGCAGCCAGAGCCCTGGAGCTGGAGGAGCCACGTGGAGACCCACACCAGCACTGAGATGCTTCCACCACTACTGGATCCACAAGACTTCCCTCCCACTGGCCTGTGATCTTCCTGCATTTGGCATCATTTCATGTGTTATGTGAGTCTAAAAAGGAATTTATAGAATGGTATCAGACATATGGACTAATATCAGACTTATGGACTTGATCTGGACTGGGCTGGGATGTTTTCTCAACAGACAATTACTCTTCGATATAAAGCTCTTTCTTATATACCTTTGAGTATCTAGGAGTTTGTCACTCTAGTCAACCCAGACTAACGCCTCCTCCCCAATTAAATGATTTATTTAGAAAAACAATGGGGAAAAAAAAAAGAGGTATAGTCTTGGAAACCCACAGGGGCAGTTAACCCTCTCCTATAGGGTTGCTATGAATTAGAATCAGCTCGAAGGCAGTGAGTTTGGTTGGATCCACCCACACTGAGAGAATAAGAAATCTGCCTTTCACGAACTAGACAGCCGAGACAGTGACCTGATAGGGCAGGGTCTCAGAGCTGCCTCTAGGTTTCCGAGACAGTGGATGGACAGCCTCTGCTTTCTCCCATTGAGCAGCTGGTGGGTTCGAACTGTCGACTTTTGGGTTGGCAATTGAATGCATACACACTGCGCCACCAAGGCTCCTCACCTTTGTTCTGGGGGACGGGTGGTGGTGGTGCTGGCAGTGGACAGGGCCAGCCCCCATGGCTCCTCCCCCGGGGGTCAGGCACACACGGAGACACATGCGGCCTTCTTGCGCAACACTTTATTGGGTATACGATTTTAACACTGACCGGCCCCTGTCGAGGCCCAGGGAGCCTGATGGGAGGGTGAGAGGGGCCCTGTGGTGGTCCCCAAGCCTGGTGGGGACCGAGCCTCAGTGTCCCCCGGGGACGGAATAGGCAGGTCAGCCCGCTCCCCGTTTTCAAAACCATGATTCCGTGAGATAAGAAAAATACAGAGAGAGAGAGGAAAGCGAGACCCCACTCCCTGGAGCCCGGCCCCGAGGCGCCTCATCCCACGCTGAGGGCCCCACCTCCCCCGAAGGCCCCCATCTTTCGGGTGGCCTCGTGGTCTGGATCCTCGAGGCACTGGAGCAGGTGCGGGGTTGGGGTGGGGGGCAGCGAGAGCTCAGGTTGGGGTCGCACGCAGGGCACCTTCCAGCCATTCTCCCAGGGCAGCTAGGTCCTCATGGTTGGGTGGGTGGGGACTCACTCACTCCTCGCGGAGCTTTTCTGGCCCCGGGCCCGCGGTCTGGGGGGCTGCTTTCCGCCGGCTCGGGCTGCCCCCGCCCAGCGCCAGCCCCAGCCCAAGGGCCGCCAGGGCCAGCAGGTGGATACAGAAATAGACGGAGGCCCAGTAACGCAGCGTGTCGCCCAGCGAGAGGAGCACGAAACCCATGCACATGTAATCGTAGGCGCGCATCTTCAGGAACCAGTGCACCCAGTCCCAGGCCTTCTGGCCCCCGGCGCCCAGCCGCCCCCGCAAGGCCGACTCCAGCCGCCCCTCGGCCGCCAGGCACAGCGGGATGGTCAGGAAGCTCAGGTAGTAGCCAGGGTGCAGGCCGTGCCAGTAGGCGCTCAGCAGCATGGTCCAGGCGCTCCTGCGGGGAGGGAGGGGAAGCCAGGAGTCAGGAGGGAGGGGCAGCCCATATCCCTCAGATCACAGGACCTGGCCCTCTTCCCTCAGACCCA